TGGGAGACCCAGGGTCCAGGCACCCTGCTCCAATGACTTTTTAGGGATTTATACACACTGGAACAGCATCAACAGGAAAGACTGATGGAGCCCCACACCAGACTGTCTCATAATTCAGTGGTTAGCACACACCCCTGAGAGGTGGGAGACCCCTGTTCAAATTCTTTCTCCCCCTCAGGTAGAGAGGGGAATTGACCCTGGGTCACCCACAGCCCAGATGAGTGCTGTAACCACTGGCTTACAAGGTGGGCAGCAGCAGCACCTTCTCCTCTGGTGACCAGATTTTTGAATGGAACCAGATCTGGTAGGCAGCCTCTCAGTATGAGAAAGGCACTGATCTTCCCCTGTTTTGTGGCTCACTCTGGGGCTTAGGTGGGAGAGAGGCATGTGGACACCTAGGGTGCCCGGAAGTAGAAACTTAGGCACTTCTGGAGCTTTTCCCTTAAAAACTTAGGTGCTGAGTGAGTTTAGGGTTACATGGGAATTTTGTGGATAGCAGTACAGCCATCCCTGGGATTTAGGGATCTAATCCCCAATATGCACCACATCACAACACACATATCTAACTCTCTCACTCACTCCTCTCAATCGCCCAGCTACACACCCCACCACACACACCCTTTCTCCACCACTCCCTCCTCTCAGTTACCCACCACCACTCTTCACTCACATTACTTTGCTGATTGCTCTCCCTGATAGTGGGGAAAGGATCGTCTCTTCTTCTCCCACAGGTGGAAGGGGAGCAGGAGCTGTGGGAATCGTCTCCCTTGATCCCTTCCAGAATGCAAGAGCTTCTTCTCCTCATCCTGGAAGAGTGCAAGGAGGCTTGCTCAGCCCCATCTTCCTTCCCTGCCCATCACAAAGGGCCTGGATATTCAATTTCACATCTAGCTGTATGCCTCTCTTCCCCAGAGCCTGCAAGTCCTTGACTGCCTGAAACATGCCAGGGGAGAGAAAGAATTCAGCCATCTCTTACTGCTACTTAATTTTAAAAAAAACTTGTTCAGATTAAGTGGGCTGGGCAGCAAACAGACTAGTGAAATAACACAAAGTGAGTCCATGGGCAGCTTCTGACCAGGTTACTAATTTAGAAGTAGTTAGCATTTTGTGCTTACCAATCGTGGTCTCGTCTGTATTATCTCATCTCTGCAGCTTTCTGTGCACTTATGTCCAAATGTCAGTCCTGCTGATGTTAATAGCAAAGCTCCGACTGACTTTGATGGGAGCAGCATTTGGCCTTTGATCCATGAAAATTTGGGATATTGACATGAAAAATAAACAGATCTCCTCCCCACATTTGAATATAAAAATCAGCTCCTGTTTATAATCTATTCCACAGATCCCTGATGACCTGGACAGATAGATATAGATATAGACACAAGCATTTCAGCATACCTCTGTGTGTGTGTGTGTGTATACACACACAATATATACATACGAACACCACACACACACACACATTATATATATCCAGGTTGTCAGGGAACTGTGGACTAGATTAAAAACAGGTGTTTCTTATATTCAAACATGGGTTGGCTATTTGTTTACTTTTCATAATAATATCCCAAAGCAAAATGTATTATTTGTTAATCATATATTTCTCTCCCCCTTTTAACAATAATGTTCCTGCTTCTGTCTCCATTCAGAGCTCAAGAGGAAAACATGACTATGATGTTTGCCTATGGTATGGATATTAGCAAAGGTTCTTTTGTTATCCCAACAGTACTGCTACCACTCCAGAACGACAGCCTCTCTGAAACCTCTATGTCTCTGGCAAGCCATGAGATGAGAGATTTATCCAAGGAACACAGAGCAGAGAGGAACAGTACTGTCTTGCAGTATGAACTGAGACCAGGGGAAATAGTAGTAGCCAGCATGGTTTTTGGAGCATTATGGCTGTTCTCTGTCTTTGGAAATTCCCTCGTTTGCTTAGTGATCCACCGGAGTAGGAGGACTCAATCTACCACCAACTACTTTGTGGTCTCCATGGCTTGTGCTGATCTCCTCATTAGCCTGACGAGTGCTCCGTTTGTGCTGCTCCAGTTTACGTCTGGCAGGTGGACACTTGGGGAGCGTTATGTGCAAGCTAGTGAGATATTTTCAGTATCTCACCCCTGGTGTCCAGATCTATGTGCTGCTGTCTATCTGCGTAGATAGGTTCTACACAATTGTCTACCCTTTGAGTTTCAAAGTGTCCAGAGAAAAAGCCAAGAAAATGATTGCAGCATCTTGGATCTTTGATGCTGCTTTTGTGTCCCCAGCTTTCTTTTTCTATGGCTCCAGTTGGGACAACCATTGCAACTTTTTTCTCCCCTATTCTTGGGATGGAGCTGTCTACAGCATCATCCATCTTTTGGTGAGTTTTTTGATTCCATCCATTTTCATCATCCTATTTTACCAAAAGGTCATCAAGTACATTTGGAGGATAGGAACCGATGGCAGAACAGTCAGGCGGACCATGAATATAGTCCCAAGGACAAAAGTGAAAACCATCAAGATGTTCCTGATGTTAAATTTAGTATTTCTGCTATCATGGCTCCCTTTTTATGTGGTGCAGCTGTGGCACCCACAGGAGACAGACTACAGAAAGAGTTCTTTGGTTTTCATGGCCATCACTTGGATATCCTTTAGTTCGTCAGCTTCTAAGCCCACCCTGTACTCAGTGTATAATGCAAACTTCAGGAAAGGGATGAAAGAAACATTTTGCATGTCCTCCATGAAATGTTACCGAAGCAATGCATACACCATCACCACCAGTTCAAGGATAGCCAAAAAAAATTATGTTGGAATCTCAGAAATCCCCGCACCAACCAAACCTGTAACCAAAGACTCAATCTATGATTCATTTGACAGAGAAGCAAAGGAAAAAAAGCTTGCTTGGCCTATTAATTCGAACCCACCAAATACATTTGTCTAATTGAGTTGAATAATTATTTTGCACCACTAGATCAAAGAGCTTGATCTCTTTTTTGAACAGACATATATTTAAATATTTTTGCATACAATTTAAAGGGAGACAAAATATGCTTTATTTTATTAAATGCATTGATTTTCTTGTATACGGTATTTTTTTTATTTTAGTTACATTCTGCTTTTTGGAACAATTATCCTACAACCATGAACAGTCTTTTCAAAAATCTCATACTATCTACATGTAAATAAAATAAAAACTGCTTTTTACTACTGCATGTTGACCACTCTGTATAAACGTGTAAAGCCACTCAAGTCCATATAGACTATTTTTTGGTTACTATTCTAATGAGATGTTGTTGGAGTGTGTTTTTTCTCTTTGTGAAAACCTTGTGGGTGAGATCTTCCGAAGTGTTCAGCTTAGCTTAACTTTGCTCCCATGGAAGTTAATGATACAACTCACACTGACTTCAAGAGTAGAGTTAGCCCAGTGCTAAATGCTTTTGAATATCCTCCTGCCTGTATCTAAAAGGCTCCTGTTGCTTTTCATGCCTAAGAAAATCTCTCTTTTGTCTTGGGTGCATTGGCTTCTTAATATTTCTATGAGACATTTCCCCCCATCGCACACCGACACGTTGGTCTATGAAAGAAAGGCAAACCAAGGTCTGCATCCTTCAAACACTTACACGGGTGAGTGACTTTGCACATGTGACTAGACTCACTGAGTTCAATGGAACTGCTCACATGTGTAAAGTTACTTGTGGATCTGGGCTCAAGCACCATGTGGTCCAGGGGAACTACCATTTGGATCAAGGTTTTGAATAAGTAAAACCAAAACTAAAATCAGAAATTCACTGCACATTAGTGCAATAAATTTGGGGGAGGGGGCGGGGCCAGAGTGTGGGTTTTTACTACATCTTTGTGCATCACCTTATACAATGGGGTTCAATCCCTAACTGGAGTATCTAGGACCTACCGTAATACAAATTACTATTAGAGAGATTAAATTGCCAGACCCAAGCATCCCTGGTGTTCACTGGAGGTGTTTTAAAACCAAATTCCATCACTCAAATATGTTTTATAAGTGTGTGTTGTCCTAAAAGCTTTGTACACATGCTGAGTGGGAAAGGAATTGTTCTGATGCCTTAGAAACCCTTTCCCTCTCTCTGTCAAGTCTTGACTCCCTACTACCAAAGAAAGAGGAAGAGGGATGAATAACAGATCAGGGTCAATGACACTTCTAGGATCAGAGGATGTCACTAGAGAATGATGCAATGTGCTTCTGTCCATCCTGTTACACACACATACATACACACACACATGCTTTCTGAATAGTTTTCCCAGGACCATGAAGCCCAAGACTGAACTTGACTCCCCTAACATTTTAGTGCACATTTTAAATGCATATCTATGACTCACAGTGATGAAAAACAGGCAAGCGTGGTCTGCATTCTTCATCATATATAAGCGTATCAGCTTCCATAGCCCTATTTTAATACACACGTCTACAGCACCTTTCATCCAAGGATGCAAAAATGTTTTGCACAAGAGGCTTACAAATGTTATCCTCCTTTTACAAGTAGGGGAAGCTAAGGCACAGAATACATTTGAAGTTACTGACAGCGAGTAATTGGCAAAACTGGAAATAGAACCCACATTTCTTTGCTCCCCATTCCCTGCTCTAAACACTAGACTTGCTGGCTCCCTGGCAAATATGACATTGTCGAGATACTTGAGCTATATAGGTTGCATTGTCAGCCCTGTGTCCATTTCAGGAGTGTTATAATGTCTGCAAAGGCATTCAGTGTAGCTTGTAGTACCTCAGGTACAACAAACGCATTGCATTTGCATTCTGATGGACCTGGAGACTGCAGTTCTGGAAACCTTTACTCTGATGTGATTTGAAGGACGTTAACATGGACTGCTATATTTGTTATCAATCCTTACTGCACCTGCCAACGTATAACAGATTTAAACTGCATTCCCCTCCTGCTCAGGACCACAGCCACTTGCTGATGAACAGGGAGGAAGGGCCATGGCAAGGCTTCCCATCCACTTCCAAGGATATAGTGCTTCCAGCAGCATAAGCACTCCACCACCTTGCACTCAGGGAGTAATGGCTACCAAATGGTGGCTGCTTCCTGGGTGAGAGGACCGAGAAGGGACTCCCACACCCACTCCCCATGCCAGTGCACCCACACAGGGATAGACTCACTATGGAGAACGTGTAATAACATGTACCTAATAGACATCTGGGAAGAGACAAATTGGCATGTAGACTTTTTCACTGTCAATAAACATGGCTTCGGCTCATATCTCTGTACAAGCACAAAACAGAAGACTTTCAGATTTGTGTGACAGGCTGTATTAGCCCCGAACTGGTGCAGAAGGGGTAACCCTTCTTTCTTGGCTGAGGAGGCCACGCCCCCTCTGTTCTGCTGGGCATGCTCCAGCTGGAGACAGGATATAAAAGGCAGCAGAGCAGCTCAGTCTGGACTGACTGCTGGTGAGGAAGGAGGTGCGCTGCTGACTCCTTGGGGAGGAACGCTTGCACTCCAGGACGCAGAGGCCAGCCAGATAGAGATGTACCCCAACACACAGGCTCGGGACACTGCAGAGAGGGGTGAGACCGTGGAGACTTAGAGACGGACAAACTGCAGAGAATCAGGTAGGAAGTGACCCAGGGAAACTTTGTGAGGAAGCAGTTGTAGAACTGGAGACAGGCTCAGTGCATTTCAGTAGGATCCCCGTCGAGCTGGTGGTGGACAACCCCACCACCGATAAGACCCTGGTTGGGACCTGGTGGAGAGGGCGGGTCTGGGTCCCCCTATCCTGGCCACTGCACACCCCGGGGTGGTGGCCCAGCTCACCTACACTATTGACTCTGGCCGCTGGGCCACATTGCCCTGAGAACAAAGGCCATATTGCTGACTCTGGCCACTAGGCTGTACCACCCTGATAGCAAAGGAAGGGCTACTGACTCTGGCCACTAGGCCACACTGTCCTGCACCCAATGGCCGGGCTACTGACTAAGGCCACAGGGCCTGGCAGCCCCGAGACCAGGGGAAGCCCTACAGACTAAACCACAGGGCTGTAACGTACCTCTCCCCCTCCCCCAAAGGGCGACGGGGTATATCAGCTCCACAATAACAAGTGGAGAATGCAGGCAATGATTGGGGCCTGCTAAAAGTCCCAAACCAGACAGATGGAGGCCAAGAAGGTTCTGAATTGGTTACTAGAGGACCAGCCTTAACAGCAGACACAGCTGCTCCAGCAGCTCATCTCCTGGCAACTGCTCCAGATGGAGCAGCAGCAGCACCAGCTCATACGAGAGTTGGCCACTCAATCACAGGTGCAGCAGGAACGTCTAGTCCAACAGATGGCATCACTGTTGCACCCCCTTCCCACTCCGCCACCTGAATCCACCCAGCAGGAGCAGAGACAGGGGACAGTATGACAGGGATTCTGGTACACCTGACAAAGATGGGACCCAGTGACGACCCAGGGGGGTTCCTCATGAACTCGAGCAGGTCGCCACTGCTGCCTGGTGGCCACCTGAGCCAGGGCCAGTTCCATGGTTTTTGCCGCCCCAAGCGGCATGGGAAAAAAAAAGCCGTGATCGCAATTGGCGGCAGCTTCACTGCGCCACTTTCTTCTTCAGCGGCAGGTCCTTCCCTCTCAGAGGGACTGAGGGACCTGCCGCCGAATTGCCCCTTCCCCTTGGCCGCCCCAAGCACCTGCTTGCTGGGCTGGTGCCTGGAGCCGGCCCTGACTCGAGCACTGGGCCATGCTTCTGGCCCCTTACTTAATTGCCCAGCACAGACCACATACAGGAACCTCAACCCTCAGGAGGCACTAGAATACTCTAAGGTCAAGGCAGCTATCCTGGACCAAACAGGTGTCAACCCCAAAACATACTGCCAGTGACTCCGCTGTGAACGGTATCTGCCAGAGGCCAGATCCAGCGCTGTGGCACAGCGAGTCCGGGGTTACTGTTGGCAGTGGCTTAAACCGGAACACCGGACTGGAGTCCAAGTGGCTGAAACCGTGGCCCTGGAACAGTTCACCCAGATCCTGTCTGCTGGGGGGGAAAGAGTGGGTGCAACAGCATCTCCCGGCAACCCTCACCGAAGCGGTCTCCTTGACAGAGGACTAGATGGCCGCTGAGGGATTGGAGTGATCCGGCCATGAACCGGGGAACCCAGGAGAGTGAGACCAACCAGCAGGCTGGGGGCCCTGGCAAGACCGAAGGGGGGAGTCCCCGCCTCTTATCCAGTATGCCGGCACCCACAATGGCGCTCACTACAAGGGATCAAATAATGACCGGTGTTACGAGTGTGTACAAGAGGGGCACTTCAGGAGAGAATGACCCTACATGGACTATAACTATGGGCAGGTATGGGTGCCTGGTATACAGGTCACCATGCCCAGAAGAGGGAACCGGGTAAAATTTTGATTCCCGTTCGGGTGAACAGGATATCAACAATGGCCCTAGTTCACTCAGGATATAGTCAAACGCTCATCCGGGCCGACCTAGTTGAGATCACGGGTCCGGCTGGCGCACCCATACATCTGCAGTGCATCCATGGAGACATGAGACTGTACCCAACCACCTGGGTATGACTTAAGGCTGCCCATCGGGAAGGACGATGCTTAGTTGGGATGGCCCTAAAGCTAGCCTACTTGGTGATCCTGGGGCGTGATTGGCAGGGCTTCACTGACCTCCTTCAGGAGTGGAGTGCACACTCCTCGGGAGTTAGGGGACACGCCTCACAAAGAGGGAGTTGCTAGGCCATCCAAGGCTGGATGACCCCAAAGTCGGACCCTTGGGGAACCCCGGGACACCAGAGGCAGGCCACAACCTGGCTGAAGCCCTGACAAGGGAAGGGCTAGGATGGCGGGACATTGACAGGGACTTCCTAGAAGAACAAAGGGAAGACCCAACCCTCAGCCAGGCCTGGGAACAGGCAGCAGGCCCTACCCAGAAGGAGGACCAACCTCAGCACTTTCCCCAAGGACCCTGGTTTGAGATCCACAACGATCTTCTCTAATGACTGGTCCAGGACCCGCAGATGAAGGAAGACCTGTACCAACTGCTGGTCCCACTGCGGTTCTGGCGAGGCTTGCTCCACCTGGCCCACTCAGTATCCTGGGCCGGGCACCTGGGGAGGGATAAAATGCTGCAGAGGGTGGCCCAAAGAATTTTTTGGCCCGGTATTCACCAAGAAGTGCAGGACTACTGTGCCTCTTGCCCCACATGCCAAAAAGCTAGCCCGAAGGAGGTACCGAGGGGCCCCCCTTGTGCCCTTACCCCTGGGCAGGATCTTCTTCAAGCATATTGGCCTGGATCTGGTAGGCCCCCTGGAGAAGAGCAGCATGGGCCACAGGTATATTCTCATCAAAGTCGGCTACATGACACGGTACCCTGAGGCTGTCCCTTTGCGAACCGCCACTGCCCCCGCTATCGCTAACGAACTCCTGCAGATCTTCGCCAGAGCTGGACTACCACGCAAGATAACTGACAGACCAGGGAACTAATGTAACATTGAGGTTGATGGTTGAGCTGTGCCCCCTGCTAACTAAAACCTTGGTTTACCACCCCCAGATTGAAGGGTTAATGGAGCGGTTCAACAGGACCCTGAAGTCCATGATGGAGGACGATCCCCGGGACTGGGATAAGTTGCTGCCCGCACTACTCTTTGCCATACGAGAGGTCCTACAGGCATCCACTGGTTTTTCCCTATTCAAACTCCTCTATGAGAGGCAGCCTCGGGGAATCCTGGACTTCCTGAGGGAGACTTGGGAGGAACAGGAAACCCAGGTCAGAGGGTCTGTTCAGTACATACTGCGGTTTTGAGAACAGCTCCAGGAGCTGGGTACCTCAGCGCCGGACAACCTGTTGTGGGCCCAACGTGCCCAAGAGAACCAGTACAACAGTGGAACGAAGATGAGGACCTTCAAGCCCAGAGACCAGGTCCTGTTGTCATTACCATCCTCGGAGTCCAAGCTGATGGCCAAGTGTCAGGGCCCCTTTGAGGTA